ACTTCTTGTCCATTCTGAAGACATTTTCTCAAACTCTGCACGAAGTAGGAGGGAGGAATGAAGTCAGGACCCATTTAAAAAAAAAATTAAAAAAAAAAAGAAGAAAAACCCCTCTGTTACACATTCAAAATCCCTCTCATCTCTAACCCTAACTTCCTTCAGAGGACTCTAAATCAATCACAGAAAGGGAGAAAGGAGAGAGACACTTCGATTAACTTAAACTCAGAGTTTCATCTACATTACCTGATTTTGGTTTCGAAAGACTTGATTTAGAATTCCCCAGTTGATGCTACAGTTCACGTACAGGAAACGCTCGGTAAAGCTTCTCGCAGAAGTTTTGCAGGAAAAGAAATGCAAGTAAACCTTTTTCTACAGAAAAAATGCCTATTTATACTTCTGGGCAAAATTAGATCTCAACGGCTGAGATTCGTTTAATCTTACGGTCCCTGTTGACACCGTTTGGAATTCAACGGACAACCCCAAACGGTATCGTTTGGAACTTGACGGTTCGTTTTTAAATTTGCCCGTTTAACTGTTGCAGTTATCTTTTTACGGCTGCATTTATTGCACACATCATTCCAAGGACAACTGTCACACCACGTTATCAGATTTTCCAGACGGACCCACTCACGCCCATTTCAACACCTTTGTTTACTTTTCTCAAATTTGTCAAGTGTTTCACTTCGACTCCGGCCATAATAATGCTGCATTACATTTCACATCGACTTCGGCCACAGTGATCCTGTATCACACATTTTATTTCGGCTCCGGCCATTATGACTCCGGTCATTATATTTTATTATGGCTCCGGCTATTTTGACTCTCATTTTTATATATTTAAGCCTAGTTCAGCACTTCTGTTTACTTATACAATTACACTTTTAAACTAGCATAGAGTTTCACTTCAGCTCCGGCCACAGAGGCACATGTTTTAGTTCGGTTCTAGTTACTGTGACTACATGTCACATACTCTACCTTGGCTCCGGCCATTATGACTCCGGTCATCATACTTTATTGCGGTTCCTACCATCATCACTCCGATCATCATATTTTATTATGACTACGACCACCAAGACTCCGGTCATCACCTTTTACTATGGCTACAGCCACGACTAATTCTAGTCATTATTTTTACACGACCACAGTCATGATCGCTCCGGTTATATTTTATTTAAGACACTCCTAGTGTAATCCACTGTTGCATATTTCATTATTAGCTACGGCTATGTTTACATTTAAGTTACAGACTTTATCTCTTCCTCTTACTTCCATAACCTATCCTCATTCTCTTTGTTTATACGCTTCCCTTAACATCCCCAATAACATCATTCACAAGTGAATGACTCC